ATTAACATGTTTAAACATTTCAATTCCTGTCATGAAATTTCAGAAAAAAATCTTTTATTTAAACTATCAATGATGATGTAATTAAAAAAAGGAAACAAAAAAATTCACTAATTTGCTTTTCATATGTCAGATGAAATCAACATAGTGTCGGATGATGGTTCGATAAAATTTTAAATGGTGAAAAAAACGTGAGATGTTGTCGAATAATGATGAACAAAATGTGAGAGAAAGAGATGCAAAATGTGAATATAATATTCTCCATTATGGTAATGGATCATCCTTTTAGTAATGATGATGATGAGTAGCTTAATAATGATAATAATAATAATAATAATAATAATAATTCAACATTTCATCACCATCACCATTGAAATAAATAATATAATATCAAAAAACATCCCAATGGATCACACCATTTTATCATCATCATCATCATAATCATTATTATTAAATGAATGAATGTATGTTGTTTTTTGTTAATTTATTATGGATCTATGCTAATGTTTTATTATAACACTTCTTGGCCCCCAAATCAACAACAACAACAACGATCATTTTTGGCTCACAATAAACACACCTTATTTTTTTTATTTCTTTTTATTTTTTGCATCAACAACAAAAAAGGTATTTCATCATTTTCAAAACACTTAAAGGCGTATAAAAATTCAAAATTCAAACAAACTTTTTTTTAAACGATGTTCATGATAATGATCATGATGAACATCATCATCATCATCATCTTCCTATCACATTCATGAAGCTAATATTAATTTAATCTAATTTATTTTAGCTTTTTTTTTCTTTAAAAAAGGCATTAATATTCCGGTTTTTTTCCGTTCTGTTGTTGTTGTTGTTGTTGAAAAAGAAATCATTAAAATCTTAAATTTAACGTTATGAAAAGAATATTCTCTCCCATCGATCAACACTGTTAAGCTATGCGAAATTTGCGAAAATTTATTTTTCTTCTTCCATATATTCATCATTAAACTCATAGTAATTACTATGTTATCAAGTCAAATGTTTTCACCATCGTATTTGAGTAATTAACGCATTATGATGATGATGATAATGATTATAAACAGAACCATTTTTTCTGTTTCCATAAACAACAACAAAAAAAACGGAGCAAACAAAAAATTAGCCTAAATCATTAACAATAAACGAAAAAAAAAAATTCCATCAAATTGATTTGCATTTAATCTTTTCATCGCTAAAATCATCTCTCACTAAATGTAAAGATGATGTCTATCATCATTATCATCATCATCAGGATCATCATTAATTCTAAATTTGTTTTATATGAATTTCTAAAACGAAGTTTATTATTATGATTATTATATTGTCCTCTATAGAGACTTGTAATTTCAGTATTTTATCCCAATAAATTCATCTAAAAATTCATTTTATATTGTTATGTAAAAAAAAAATTTAAAAATTATTATTATAAAATTAATGAAAGAAACTCAATGAGAATGAGAAAAAAAAATGGATCAAAATCCAAACAATGAAATGAACAACAACAACAACAGAAAAAAAAACATACAATTTCCCAAATAAAATGATTGTATTGTTGGTTTGTGTGTGTGTGATTCGGCTATTGTATCGTGCGCGTATTGAAATCAAACCGAAATAAAATAAAATGAAATGAATTGTTTGAATTTCATATATGATGATGATGATCATCATCATCATAATAATAATAATGTTATGGGGACATAATGCAAATGAGTTGTTTTATATGTATACAAACAAAACAAAATGAAACAAAATGATGGTCGTCTACGACCAAAAAAAATGATACTAGGATTTTATTTTATTTCATTTTAGTTTGTTGTTGTTGATCTATTGTTGTTGTTGTTATCGTTGTCGTTATTATTATTATTATTACATAGTATAGATATGCAAATTTGATATGTCAGTGTGTTTTGTTTGTGTGTTGACATAACCACAAACAAAAAAAAAATGATAATCATAATAATAATTGCATATGATGATGATGATGATGATGATGGACACAGATTGACGATTTTCATCCATCTTTTTGTTGTTGTTGTTGTTGTTGGTATCTTTCATTTTTTTCTTCTGCTTTTCAACTTCTTTTTAGATTTCTTTTTTTTTACAACACATATGTTTCCTACTCTTCATACATTTATTGGGTGCAACTAATTTCTCTGTGTGTATGTTTGATTCATGAATTGAAAGTTTTTTTCCGTTGTTTGATAATGGAAATTCAATGAGAATGATAACCGAAAATACATTGACAAAAAATATAATGATTCTGTTTTGGATGTTTGTTTTTTTTTCTGTATATGAAGAAAATTTCTTTCATTTTTTTTGTATTTCATCAATCATCAAAATAATCACTTGCTTTAGAAAATAAAAATCATTGAGATTCTTTTAAAAAAATTGAGATTTTCCTTGAATGATCGATAAATGTATCCAATTTTTGTTGATTTTTTTCCATTCATTCATTCATTCATTTTTTCTGGCTTTGTTATTTACTTTTCAATTGACAAAAGAAAAGAAAAATTCCAATAAAAATTAATTGCTTGTAAAGTCATTAAATTATTCTATTTGGTTATGGTCATGGTATATCGATCAACTAAAGCTACAACAACCAGCTGAATCAAAAAAAAAAAAATCATTCAAAATTCTATTGACCAAATACACAGTGAAAACGAACAAACAAAAAAAAAGTTATCGGGTCCATTTGGTCGATCGATTCTTTTTAGTTGTCATCATCATCATCATCATAGTATCTGCAAGTGACTGATGGAGTTTGAAATAATATGAGCAAGCAACACACACATTTGATTCTTGTCATTGTGTATTTAGTGTGCCCAAATCAATGTGTATTTGAGAGATGTTATTTGGTTGTTGTTGTTGTTGTTGAAACCAATTGGACCAATACACGTACCATAGATTATTATTATTATTTTTTTTTAGTTTGTTCGGACAATCTTTATCATCATCATCTCTATCATGTTCAAATCGTTTTCAGCTCAATGACTTGCTTCATATCTTTTATATCTATTTTTATATATAGCTTGATCAGTGTGTCAAACACAGCTGACGCCAATTTTCTTCTATTTTTTTCAATATTATTCTATGACGTTCTTCGTTTTTTCGCCATCATCATCATCATCATCATATATATTTTCATTTCGTTTGAGTTTTTTTTTTTTGTTGCTATACTTTTTTTTCTTCACTTTTTGGATTTCAATTCAGGTCTTTCATTCATGTGTTCAGTTTAATATTATTATGATGTGAATAACAGTATGTCTCTCTTTCTAAATGTGTTTGCTTGAATAGATTGATATATACCGTATAATGTGGTTGGATATCGGAAGTTTTTTTTTTCATTTGGATGTCGTTTACAGAACAAGAATAATAATAAAAACATTTTCCGTCGTATTCCGTTAATACACACTCTTAAACACACACACACACATAAGGCGTCAAGATTGAATTTTTGTTCATTGTTGTTGTTGTTGTTGGTCACATAACAATCTTTATTGATCATGATGATGATAATAATGATAATCATTATTGTTGATCATTGATGTCCAATTCATTTTTATTGTTATTATTATTACATAATAATAACAATATTATTATGATTATTGATGATGATGATGATGATGATGAAAACCCAACATTGAATTGATCAATTCAAATAAAATTGATCATAATGGTCAAATATATTGAATATAAAAGAAGAAGAAGAATTAGAATTCATCATTCATTCATTCATTCATATAACAACGAACGAACAAAAAAAAATAATGTTATCAGCAGCTGGAAGCATTTCTTTTCTTTACGAGAAAAAAAATTTCTTACATTATTATCAATGTGAATTATTTTTTTGCGTTTGATTTTCTGCTCCAGAAACACTCATACACACACGAATAAATAAACAGTTTTGTTTTCCATTAGTAAATGAGCAATCACATTTAATAATTCCAACTAGAAAAAAATGATTAGCATATAAATTAATTGTAATTTAATTAAGTGATTAATTCATTAGTTGAACTGATTAATAATGATATTATCAAGTTTGCCTATTTTTTCCCCGTTATTAATAAAATATTATTCCATATATGTTTTTGTGGCCAACAAATGATAAAAAAAAATTCTTTTCATTCATGTTCATATGATTATGATCATAATCATCAAATGAACACTAACTATATAATATTTTCACTATTATTTAGATTCATGAATGAATGACATGAATAAGTTACATTTCACACGTGCACATCTCTTTTTTTTATATTCCATTTTATATATTACCAAATTTTCTATTAGTGGATAACATATTTTTTGTGTATCTATTTTTTTTGCACATCAAATTTTAATAGGCGCATATATCACCATACAGAAAGAGAGAGACAAAAAAAACACATGCATCGAATATATGTTTATATATGAAAAAAGGCATTCATGTCACACACGCCCTAATGATTTTCGTCGTAACATGTTTTTCATTTATATATACAATGAAATATGATGAGATTTTTTTTTCGTATGATATATACATGTTTTGTATATATCATACACTGATACAACAACAACAACAACAACTCTTGAACATTTTTATTATTTTTCCCAATATCACAATAATAATCACACAGTTGCTCCTGATTGGCTACCAAATGAATGTTGTAGGCCGATCTTGACTTTGTTTGGCGGCGGAGACTCTTTTCTATTCACAATTTTTCTTTTCTCTTACTCCATTCATTCATTCATTCATTTACTCGATTTAAATCATTGTAGTTTTTGGATACAAATTGGCGCTACAGATAATAATCGTTGATGTTTGCTTTTTTTTGTTTGTTAAATCTTTGATAATAATAATAATGTGTATGTAAGTGTGTGTGTTTTGCTTCTTTTTTTCAAAAATTGTTTCGTTTTTTATAAATTCACATTTCACGTTTGATGAATAAATGAACATCATTTTAATTGTCATCGAAACAGCTATTGATCTTATTGATTGCTTATTTTTTAGTTATGTAATTCATTATTTTGACCACCCAAACGTTTAATCAATTTTCTAAAACAAGAAAATAAACGCTATGGCTATGTTTCCACAATTTTTTACACATCCATCTTTATATCAGAATTTTTTTCGTGCAACTTCATCAGCAAATAATAATAATAATAATAATTCTTCATCACCAACAACATCATCATCATCTTCATCAGCATCTTCAGCAGCGGCTGCAACAGCAGCCAGTCTAAGTTTATCATCACAACTTGCATTGTTAAGCAATTCTGGTGCATTTGGATCAAATGCATTCAATACAACAGCATCAGCTGCTGCGGCTGCACATCTATTGTCAAATGCTGCGGCTGCTGCTGCCGCATCACATAATTCACAATTCTTTGTTGAAAATTTAATTCGTGATAGAGCGGCAGCAGCGGCTGCTGCTGCAGCTGCTGCCGTTGCAGCAGTATCAAATAATTGTTCATCACCGCCAAATCCAAATGTTCACAATCAACATCATCCACCACCTAATCATCATCATCATCTTCATTCACATCATCATAGAAATTTATTTGGTTTACGGTCAAATGATTTAAATCATCATCATCATCGGTTATTGTTAGCAAATAATAATAAACATCAATCATCACAATCAAGTAATGAATATTCTCCTACAACGGGTAAATCATTTATAAATGATGAAATCAATGATGATTGTGATGATTTAGAATGTTGTGGTGGTGGTGGTGATTATCATTCAGATCATTCTAATCGTTCATCACCATTGATTGGTATCAGCCCTGCATCAAATAATAATAATAATAATTCTTCAAAACAATTAAAATTCGGCGTTAATGCTATACTTGCTTCAGATGGTAAATCATCATCGACAATCCCATCATCATCATCGTCAACAACAACAACAACAGCAACAACAACAACAACAATTTCATCACCATCAACAACATCAGCATTATCATTGGAAATAAAACATCATAATAAAGATATTAGTACAAATAATAAAGGTAAGAAAAAAAATCGATCTACAATAAATATTACATAATTATGTTGATAGAGGCGATAGAAAGAGAGTGAGTGAGTGAGTGAGAGAGACATTTAGTAAAATAAATTAATTCATTTTACTTGCATTAAATCATTTACTAAATTATCAAAAAATAAAAGAAAATTATCGTTTCATTAATCAATAGATAATAATAGTTGGATAAAGACATTAACATTAGCTGCCTACATGATTGAATGAACATGATGATTATGATTATGATGATGATGAAAAAGAAAATTTCGATGAAATAATTTGTTTATTATTCATTACAAATGATTATTAGTGTTATTATCTCTAAAGGAAAGAAAGAAAATACTCGATACTCGACCAATCATCAATCGGTTAGTATTATAATTATATCATTGTAAAAGTATAATAAATAATCTGCAAGTGAATGAAATAAATAAAATATGTTTTGATCTGTTCTGTTTTTTCTCGTTATTGTTGTTGTTGTTGTTCAATGTGATTTATAAAAACAAAAAACAAAATAAAAGAAACGTTGAAAATATCTATGTAGGAAACAAAAAACTATAATGAATGATTCATCGTTCGTTTAATATAATGTTATATAACAAGCACACTAATAATTACATTTAAATGTGGTCGATAGTGATAAAGAAGAAAAAAAAGAGAAAGAAGAATTTAATGGTAATGATTATTACATGATGATGATGATGATCATCACTATGGATCATTAGACAATGTTCATGTTGATTTTATGTTTTAATGTGTGTGTGTGTGATTGAGTGTTATGCTGATTTTATTTTTCTTTTGGTGTCGATTTCTTTTGATTACCCGATCATTAAAACAAAAGCTAATAATTATTTTTTATTATGATTATTATAAGTAATAATAGTTAGAATATTATGTGAATAATTTTGTTGTTTTTTGTTGTTGAAAAATCATGTTCAAAATGATAATAATTGGTTCAATCTATCTGTTGAATAACAATAAAATACAGAGATAAAAAAAATGAACAATCAATCAATGAATAATGAAAAAGTTATTGATCTTTTTGAATTAATAAAGTCATTATATTCATTTTGTTTTCTTTGAATTTTAAAAAACAATTTATTTGATTAATTGATTTATTTGAATTCATTACAATGCAGTAATATACAAAATACGCCTCAAATAGATAAATATTTTTTCAATAATGATTATCTTAAGGCACCTATGTAATGTACAATGAAATTTTATTTTGTATTTATTTATTCAAAAGCAGCCCGAAATCTTCATTCATTCGTTTATCGCAGATTATTATTATGAGCAATAATTCTTATTGCAATTAAATTCTTACTACTCAGGATAATATAGATTTTTTTCTGTGTTGTAATTCTCTTATATAAATGCTTTTCACCATTATCATTATCATTACCATCATCATCATCATTATAACTGATTATAAACAATCAAAAGTCATTGGCTTTATATGAATAAAAAAATTTTTTTTGTAGAAAAAAAATTTTAAATTTTAAAAATCCAGTCTGTTTTTTTTGTTGTGATTAATGGCGGGCAACTTGAATTAGTTTTTCATGTATGATCAAGCGAAAATGGACCTGCTTTTAACAAACAGAAAAACAGTCAAAATTGCCAATAATAAACCCGAAAACAATTGGTAACATCTAATCCAATAGACTATGGAGAAAAAACTTACACACACAACATTCATAAACACACACACACACAGGAATATCATAACCTATAATTAAATGCTAATAAGATGGTGACTTTTTTTGCTTTCTTTCACTAATACAAAACAAAACAACAACAAAAATTTCAAATGATACTGGAAAAAACAACAACAACTACTACTACTACCATCATCATATAAAATGCAACAGGCAGGCAGGTAAAAATTAAGTCATTATCCTTAAAAAAAACATGCCATACAATTACAACAACAACAACAAAGTTGTTCCGCGACTTGTGTGTTGATTGAGGAAAAAAGCGTGCCATTATAACCAATATTAACTATCCAGCCATTTTTGGGGGGTAGATGTTATTATCATTATTAGATTGGTGAAGATTTTCGTTTATTTTCCCATTCTCCCATTTTGGTTTTGGCTTAAAAAAAACTTTAAATAAAATAAATGAACAAAAATTATTGTGCACGCAAGAATTTTCAATTTCTTCTTCTTTGTTCCGTTCTCTGTTCAAATGTTTGAATTGTTGAACGAAACAAGAACCAGCAACAACAACAACAACAACAAAATTAATGCAAAGGTACCAGGTGAAACTGAAGAATAATGATGATGAGAAAAAAAAAACGATGAAATTTTTAGTTTCTCAAACTGACTAATTATCCTGTGCAAAATGGTTGAAAAACAAAAACAAAAACAAAATACAACGATGATGATGACTATTTAGGATGGCCATGAAAGTGATAGAATGCAAATTTTTTTGTTTTGTTTTGTTTTCTAGGAAGGAAACACCTCTCTCTCTCTGTTGATTATATATTCATTTAATATTGTTAATAATAGCAAAGTAATCTTTCAAATATTTACAAATATTTAATTGGTGACTATTATTTGAATGCATTGGATTTTAAATAACAATAAAAAAATTACATAATAAAGAAAGAAAGAATGATAGAATAATAATCATATATCTGATTTTGCAAACTAATCTAATCCATTCACTTTGTTTGATGTTTATTTTGTTTATATAAATAAATAAATCAAAACGAAAAGAAAAAATCCTTGTTGATTAATTAACAAATAACCTAGAGAAAGAAAACATTATTAAATGATTAATCGATCGTATTATGACAGACCAAAATATCTTACCTTTAGGCAATGTTCATGATAATAAAAAAAATTTAATAAATAAACACACCGATCGATTGTCAACAAGGAACTAACAAACAAACAAAAAAAACATTGTTAATGATTAAAAAAAATTTTGATTTTCTTGATTAGAATATTTATATGCAAACAAAAACAAAAAATGATCGACATGACAATAGAGCTCAAAAAACTCTTAGAGAATCTTTCTTTTACATGAATGCCCAATGATAAACAAAAAAAAAAAATCCTTAATGAATGAATGAACGTGATCACATCATCCATCATAATATACAGCCAGAGAAAATGTATTGTTTTCTTTTTCCATAGCAAAATTTAATGGATGATAATCATTTTCCAATATCAACTACTATTATTTTTATATTAATTATGTTATCAATTTGTTGTTGTTGTTGTTGTCGTCATTTTTTTATGACTTTATAAATTGTCTGGCTATTTGTAGCCATCGATTGGATTTTATTTTTCTCCCAATCATAATCATCATCATCGTGATCGTGATGCACGTTTTCATTCTGTTTTTTTTAATATTTGTCGATTCATCGATATCATAATATCTATCCAGTGGCGTTTTGTTGTTGTTGTTATTGTTCAATCATTTTATTCTCTTCAAATTGATGTACACAAGATGTACTATGACATAAAGCGAGAGACGATAAAACAAATCAAAAAAAAGCTTTTGTTTTTTTCAATGATCAACCAAAATAATCATCGATGAAAGATCTCAATTAGAAGACAAGATGAACCATATGATGAGATTAATTAATGAGATTTTTTTTTTTTTTTGGTTCGTTGTTCGTTGCTGTTGTTTTAGATATTTTTATTTTCTTTCCACACATTCATTCATTCATTCATTCATCTTGCATGATTTTCATGATTATGATCATCATCAATTCAATTGAAAAAAAAAAATAAACCTGCTGCTGCTGCTGTTATATGATCATGTTCTAATTGACTATTAATTATGATCATATCGAATATCCTTAGAAAATAACAAAAAATGCATGTCCAATTCCGAAAGCCAATGATGATGATGATTTTGTTAAAAGTTTTATCAACAAATATGATCAACAACAATGTTGTTGTTGATGGTGATGACAGACTTCCTATCTCTCTATTAATAAATTGTATTTTAATAATAATCATTAAAAAAAATTTACTATGAACATTAGATATTGTTTCAATGTTATATTCGATATATAATACATTTATTAGCCGATATAATCTATTCTTTCTATTGTTTTTTTTTTTTTAATTTTCCTATAATGTCATGAACTGATTGTTGTTGTTGTTGTTGTTAAATATAAACGGAATTTAACTTGTTGAACATTATATATAATATTACTGTATGAAAACATTCAAAGTTTAATTAGCTTCCATTTTGTTTTCTATTGTTATTATTATTTTGATGATTCAATTTCCAAACATACACGTTTAAAAATGATTGAAACACAATAAGAAATTATTATTTTTTAAATCGTGATTCGTCAAAACACTCCAGAGAGAGAGAAAAAAAAATGATTGTGGTTCTTAAATATATGATATTATTAAATAATAATTCAAATTTTTTTCTCATTCTCATTTAGATCGAAATGGATCAAAATCCAATGTTCAATCATACTATGCAAATGGCCTAAATAAATCATCATCATCACCAACAACAGTTTTATTAGCAAACAATTTAGCCACTTCACACCGTCCTTTAATTGATTTTCATAATTTTTTTTCATCACGATCATCATATTTAGTTGGTAAGTTTTAGAAAATATTCCAATAAATCCATAAAGAATTTTCAACTAACTAAATAAATAAATGCAACTAGTATTTAAAATGTATTTTGTCATTCAAATTGGCTACATATTTGATTTTGATATATAAATATAATTCTAAATGTAAACAAATTATTAAATGGAAATCTTTTCAAATATTTTTTTCTATTTTTTGGCCTAAAATATTAGCAAACACTTAATACGAAAATGAATGAATGAATCTAATTTACATTTTTATTGCTTATTATTATTATTATTATAATGATTATCCCTTTTTTTTGCAATTGACAATTAGGAAAATTTTTTTTTGTAACGGTTACATTGTATTGAATAATATTGGAAAAATAAAAAAATGTTGAATGGTTTCAATTTAATTGAAAACAATCATTCAATGTTTGTTTGTCCTTCACGTGTCAAGGATCAATCACATACACACACACACACACACAACTGTTATTCAGTAGAAAAAAACTATTTAATCTAAAGAATAATATTTTTTCATACTTTTCATTCATGCTGTCGTTGACAATAGGTTCAAATACTAATGCTGGTGGTGGTGGTGGTGGATCATCATCATCAAGCACGTCGTCATCAAATGTGACAAGTACTGCACAACAACAGCCGCCTCCATCATCCGTATTGAATACGGTTGCAGTGAATTCATCAAGCAATGCCAATCATCATCATCATCATCATAATCACCATCAACAACAACAACATCAACATCATCATCATCAAACATCGGCACAAAATATTCTTGCAACAGCCGTACCATTATCATCCTCATCAACATCATCAATTACAACAGCAGCAGCAGCAGCAGCATCAGTAAGCAATCCATCATCAGTAGGTTTACGGCCATTGGCAAGCTTATCATTTGCTGCCGGTTTTCCATGGGCAACCCGAGGTAAACCACGAAGAGGAATGATGCGTCGTGCTGTATTTTCCGATGCTCAACGACAAGGTCTAGAGAAACGTTTTCAAATGCAAAAATATATTAGTAAACCGGATAGGAAAAAATTGGCCGAAAAACTTGGTTTAAAAGATTCACAAGTAAGTATTTTGAGAATTTTGAAAATTTATCAAATAAAACAAAGCAAAAAAAAGAAAAACTAGTTTCAAATGAAAATGAATTCAAAACCATCGATGATGTGATGCTTTCCTTTCTTGTATGTGTTTTTTGTTTTCAATGGGCACTTGTGGCCTTGATATCATTCGGATAACATCTGGTGCCATCATCTGGAACACACACACGCACACAGACATTTTTATATTGTATTTGTGATGGTGCCCCGCGTACATAATACCTAATATCATCACTATTCATCTAAAAGAATCTAAAACTGCTGCCCAAACTTAATCCAGTTTTATTTTTGGTTTTGATTTATCCCTCTTTATTTTTATATGGAATATAAAAGAATGAAGTATTTATATCCATTTCTATTGAAAATCCGTTAACAATTTGCCCAGGCAATCAAAAATTATTACGTATTTTCTTTGAACCACACATTTTTGGTCTATATTAGATGTGTATGGTAACATAATTTTCTAATGTCGAAACAAACAAAGATATCATACATTGATGATTATAACGAATGTTTTGTTGTTGTTGTTCACATCTCGGTTATTATTATCGATTGAGAATAATAATAGCAATAAAATATGATAAGATTATTCGACAAGTTTTTACCCAAAACTAAACAGCGAAAAAACATCATCACAAGTAATTGAATTCAGTTTTTTTTTTTGGTAAAGAAACAAAAAAAAATCATTGAATCTGTGTCTGATGATGATTCGTGCACAATTTATTCAATTCATTTCTTTCCAAAAAAAACCTATTAGATCTAATGCTTTTTTATTATATCGTTGTTGCCGATTTGTGATTTAAATATATTAATATATTCGATACAAAGATGAACGAACCTAGGACAACAACAACAAAAAAATAAAATATATCCTAACTAAACAGAAATAGAAAATAAATAATCTAACTTTGATGATTTAAATCGATTTGATATTCGGTAGAAAAAAAAGGCAACACATGTAATAATGGCGATAGTATGTGACACACACACACAACAATAATCGAAAAAAGATACAACAAGATGACAACAACAAGCAAAAGAAAGAAAGAATCTAAATATGAATTCTGAATTGAAATTGATCTATGCATTGCATTGGTATACATTCAATATGATAATGATGATGATGATCATCATCATCATATGGAAATGTAAAATAGAATTGGCATAATTTTTATTTTATATATTCAAATTTAAAGGCGTGATGTATGTATTTGGATGTAATATGATTGATTGATCGAAATTGATTACAATTACAGATTATTATTGAATTTATTTATTTCAATAATTCATTTTTTTTGCATTCTCAATCGATGATCATTACATAATCTGTGATAAAAATGATGATAATGAGTTTGTAATTGATACAAATTTCAAATGATGATGATGATGAATGATCTATATTTATATTTTTGATTATGTATGAATTATGCATCAAATCATCATCAGATTGATGATTTGCAATCAAAATGTTGTTGGACAATAATTTAGATAAATGATAATGATGGTTTTTTTCTGTAATTTTAAATGAAAATGACGGTTGAAATGAAAATCGATGTTCTAATTGAAGTCAATCATCATTTGACATTTAAATCATCATCATCATCACCGTCATCACTATTGGTCGAGCTAAATTTAATCTTTTTTTAATCGCTCAATTACATAACAAACATAGTTTTTTTTTGTTTTTTTGATTGTACAAATGTGCGTGATGTACATTACAATTCTTTAGATAACGAATATATATGAAAAAAAACTGTTAAGAACTAAACGAACAAGAACAACAACAAAAAAATTGAAAGGCAAAGACAGGAAAAAATAAGATTGATGGATGACAATAATAATAACAACTGCGATGAAGATGATAATGATATCATCGCACATCAAATCACACACACAAACACATTATAGATTCAAGTAAAATAAAATATGTGATACACAAAGAATAGAATGTATAATAATTTCAACATTAAAATCATTTTCTATTTCTATTTATCGATGAAACATATATTCTCTATATGTATGATGTTTTTTTTTCTTGAGTAAAAATAAATCGATTAGTTGATTGGTTGTATTTGGTGGGGAAAAGTGGGTAACATCAAACCATATATATCGGGTATAAACAGAAAAATTATCGAGCAATCGAGGATAGATGCTGGGCAATTGAAAAGAAATCAAAGTTTAACATTTCATTTTTGATGTTTGATGTTTGTGTATGTCATCGAAGCTATTACAATCATTGATAAATTATTGGCCCAAAAAAAAGCATATTAAATATTTACTTGTGAAGCAAAAAAAAAAATTGTTTCAAAGTGATGAAATGAAAATTGCAATGACTCTTTCGGGTAAACACTAACACTGGTTTTAATATATGTTTGGTTTTGTATGGATATAAATGGATAATGATGGTCAATCAATTTTTTTTTGTTTTGATGATTGAATTGGAACCATGTCCTACCATATGCTACATATTGGTAATTTAATCCGAATATTGTTATTGTGTGTGTGTGTAAATAGCTTTTCTTATTGACTTTTATCTATCTTAAATTGCTTAAATTGATTTTTTTTTCTCTTTTTAAAACTCTTATCCTAAAATGTTTGATCGTTCGAAAATTCGCGTTTCCAAATAAATCAATTCATTTTCGATATTTTCATTGGTATTATTAATGTTATTGTTTTTTTTTGTTTATTCCATCAAATTTTAGGTCAAAATATGGTTCCAAAATCGTCGTATGAAATGGAGAAATTCTAAAGAACGAGAACTTTTATCCAATGGTGGTACTAGAGAACAAACATTGCCAACAAAAAATAATCCAAATCCAGGTCAGTTTTTCAGAAAACTTTTAATTTTTGAATGAATCGATTGTAATCGTATTTATTTTTGTTTTTAAAAAAATCAATATTTTTTTTTGCAGATCTCAGTGATCCAATATGTACAAAATCCGGATCATCCGTTTATGGTCGTGTCGGTTTGTATACGAATACAACAACAAATTCAACATTACATACAAAAAGTAGTAAATCAACAATAATATCATCATCATCATCAACAACTAACCATAATGGTACAACAAATAATAATAAGAATTCTTCATCGCTCAAATCATCTGCATTCAAATCATCATCATCATCATCATTGTCAACGATAACAACGACAAATACAAATTCATTCTGTGATAATATCATTAATAATAATAAAAAAAGTCATAATTTGTATTATAATATAGAAAATTATACAAATAAATCTAAATTATTGGCTATCAATAATAATTTAAATGAACATAGAAAATCGATTATGAACATCGTTGATGATCAACATACAAATTCCGGTACAGAAGATTCTGAACATGATGATAATGAAAATGATGATGAAAAATTAAGCAATTTTGATGATAATGATAATATTGAATTAGATATGGATGATGATGATGATGATGAAATAGATTATCAAAGTGATGGTGATCATCATCATCAAAATGAACATGATACCAACAATGAAAATGATGACAACGATGATGACGATGATGAAGATACCGAAATCAAAGTTGAAGATGATTGATCAATAGAGCTTTCAAGCATAACTACTAATAACCGGATGTATTATTTAACCGTACCGGGACATCAACTCAACACACACACACACACTTACACAAAAACAATTATATAATTTGATCATCTAGTGATCTCTTCATCATCATCATATTTTTTGTTTCTTCTTTTATCATTCTTTTTTTCTCCAAAAAAAAAACAAAAAACAAAATTGTCATTCATTTATAAATATAATCTTATCATTGCAACCAAACAAACAAACAAATTAAAATATTCAAATTTTTTTTTCTTCCCCCGTAAAATAGAAATAATAATAATGAAAAACCGAATCATTTATAATTGAAAAAATAACCCAAAAAAATTATAATAATAATAAATTTGAATCATTATTATCCGGGTGTGTGTTTGTGTGTTTGTGTTTCAATCTTTTTTTTTTCGTTTCTTTTTTCTCATTACAATTTTGTTTGTTTGTTTGTGTGTGTGTATAAAAACAGAATTTAAATACATGTGAATCATTATCATCATCATCATCATCAGTTGAAAAACAATTGAAAACAACAACAAAATCCATCAACAATCACATAATGATGATGATGATGATGATGATGAAGAGGAAAGAGAGAAAAAAAAATCAAGCCAAATTAATTCCATTATCGACACATGATCTGAATAAATTAATAAAATTTTTTTTTCTTGCAAAAAAAGAAAAAAACAATGCCTTTGAAATAACACATTAACAATGTTCGACACTATTCTGACTCTATTAATTTCAATGGCTGATGATGATGATGATGATGAAAAATGGTCTGTAGTTAATTGTTAATGGAATTTATAACACAATACTGAAGAGTTTTGTGAAGGAACGTTCTTGTATGCTTGTGTGTTTGTGTGTGTGTGAACTCGACCATCATTGAGTTAGATAGTATAGAATCGGCTTGGACTGAATGAAGGGAAAAAAAATTTATTCGGATATTCAATGTAAGGGAACGAAGGAGAGATATGGAATGGTAACAGCTGTATCTTCTTTCTCTCTCTCTCTCTCTCTCTCTCTCTCTCTCTCTCTCTCCCTCTCTCTCTCTCTCTCTCTCTCTCTCTCTCTCTCTCTCTCTTTTGTTGACTACAACCGTCGTCTTCGATTACATCAGAAAGAAGCGAAAAAAAAACATCGCAACTCAATCGTTTTTCTTCGTATACGGTGAATGCTTACGATGATGATGATGATGATGATTTTTTTTCATAATGATGATGTGTTTGTGTTTAAACAAACAAACACCATAAAAAAAACTTCAAAACAGTTATTGCTAATTTAATTTTGGTTTTTTTCCAGAAAAAAATAAAATTTCAATCTTTTTTTTACGTTGATTTTATATTAAATGTGTGTGTTCTATAGGAAAAAAAGTTAAAGTTGTGAATGATGATGATTATGATGATGATGTGCGATAATAATAAACAAACATAAAGTCTAAAAAGAGAAAAAATTATGGTTGGTTGAAAAGAATAAAAAGGTGGTATAATGGGCACTATATTCATCACTGTTAAATCTGTTTTTTTCCGCATCAAATTTGAAAAAAAAAATTTGTTTAAAAAGTTTTACAAAAAAAAAGAAATCTTTATAAATATCTACCATAATAAATGCAATTGACATTGACAAAATACGGTTATAAGTTTACAGTTTTTTTTCAATGGTTACGTTATTCGGTGAATGAATGAATGATCATGATGATCATCTACATATGATTATAATGCATATTATTTATCCAGAAATAAAAAAAAAAGTGTGCGACAACAACAAAAAAGTAATTAAATTTATTAAATATGTACACAATCCAACCAAACAGAAAAGAAGAAAAAAAATCTAAAACCACAAGGTTTTGGCAGCCGTTACATTTTTTTTTCATCATCATCATTTTCCATTCATTCATTCATTCAAATTTCATTTCATTTTTTTATTATTATTCATTTTTTTTCAAGCATTCACACTTTTATTATTATTATTATTATTAATAGTTGGCTGTTTTCAATTTATTATTATTATGATTTTTCATGAAAAAAATATCGGGTTATATTCTCTCTTTTGATCAAATTGGTAACAAATTGAAATTGAATCGAAAATCATATGTGTGTGTGTGTGTGTGTGTGTGGTGAAACACACTTTTTTTGGCACACAACCGAACCGAAACCAAAGGATTTTCTTCAATGAATTCAATAAGTGGTGCAAGGGAAAGCAAGAATGAAAAAAAAAATATGAATAAAAAAAATAAAAAACACTTTTTTTTCGTTCGTTTGAATCGAAAAAAACAACAGCAACAACAAGAGATTCGAATCATTGACAACAAACATAATTTTCAATTGAAACAACGTCAGGATAGAAAGAAAAAAAAATGTCTATTAATATCCGGATTCTGTCATTCACTTTTGGTATTTTGTGATGATATTAATGGTTTCTTAAAGAGCGTTACATTATTTTTTTCGTTCGGTATTGGTTTGGCCACACGTTTTCTCTCGTTTCTTTCAACATTATTCAACATTTTTTTCCCGTTAATTTTTTTTCGGATCACCCCCATACAACATATTATATTGATATCGGAAAAAAGGGTTTGAAAAAAATCATGTGTATGAACGATTCCTTTCACCATTCCACTATTCGCCCAGAAAAAAAAGCGACACGCGTACGATTTGTCGACTATTAGCGGTTTTTCTCTCTCTCTCTCTCTCGAAAAATTTCACGCAGAATCCAATTAAATTCAAATCAACTTTCAAAGTTTTGCAAATCATTTCAGTTCCGTAAAATTCCATACACACATACCAAATTGATATATTCAAATGAAGAAAAAAAACCCCAATTGCTAATGGAAACAAGAATATCAATTTTTGCTGAAAAAAGTTCATTGATTCATTCATTGATTATCATCATATAAATATGGCGGAATATTCTTTACCCAAGAAAAAACTTTCATAGTTCATCATATAGTCAAACTGTTTTTTTTCTCAAAAAAAAAAATTAATTTATGATGATTAAGTTTGATGTGTGTGTGTGTGTGTAAATGAGTAAATTAGAATATTTTTCTCATTTTCATATATATTATATAAATGAAAATGATTGATTTCATTCATGCATTCATTGCCGATATTACATACAAAAATTAAAAAAATGATGATGAATAGAAAACCGATTAATAATGCAATATATTTATTAAAACATCCATAAACAATTCTTGAGAATTAAACAAAAAAAAGTATCCACATTATATAAGGAAAATTGAATCAATCAATAGAGATTATAGATTATTTTTCTTATGTTTGTTTCAATTTTCAAGTTACCAAAAAAAAAAATACCAAGCATGTGTTTCCGATTATTTGATGATGGTAATGGTGATGATGATTGAAGAAAAAATTCGAAAGCAGCATTTGTTCACGACATCAAATCGAAGCTATTATCACCACCACCACCGCCATCAACGATTTGATTATCATAGTTTGTTTTTGTTATTGTCCATTGTCCATAACTGTATGTTATTGTTATTGTTAATAGTTGATTTTAATGATCAAAAATTGATGATCGTTTCGTTTCGTTTTTTTTTCTTGTTGGTACTTTTAAAGAAAAGAAAAAAATTTTCATTCATATAAATGTGTAGAATACATTTAATATTTTCCCAAAAAAAAACAATAATGATTGTTCACCATATGTCAATGTGTGTGCCATTAATCGATAATTGCTGTATGTGTGTGTTTTTTTACTCTAATAAAAAAGAATGACGACAAACATTATTGTAATCATCATTAATATTGTCAATGGGAATATAATTTCCATTTTTTTTCTCCCGAAAAAAAAATTTGATTGAATGATATGATCATCATCATCGTATAATGTAATAATTCACAATAGAGGAAAACGAATGAAATAAAAAAATTCAATCAAATCAAAACTCATTCACAGATTATATCTTTATTATTATTATTATTATTATCATAATCATAATAGAACCTTAAAGGTAAGAATGGGTTGAGTAGAAAGAAAATTCAATTCATTTTATTCATCATATACGATGAAATTATGGGTAACCAAATTATATTATCAAATTTCAAGAAAATTACTATTAAATCCAATCACTTGACAACACACAACACAGCCAATGGGCACCGTTTTATGTTTTCAATGTAAAAGCTGTACACACGACCAACGACAAACGAAAAAAATCAAGATAAAAAGTAAAAAGAAAAAAACTTTTATACCTGTCATAAGCACATGACGCACCAATGTTCAATTCCACGGGTATGTTTGTTTGTGTATGCGAAAATCGCAATTGAAACCCCGATAATAATAAAAAACTCGATCCAGAAATGTTTGAGAATTTTTTTCTCTTAATTTTTTTTAGATTCAATTGTGAATGCTAGTGAAATAAAAAAACAAGCACCAATATGTTTGCATGTGTTTGGTTGTGTCGTGTACCATATTTTTAGATTGTAGACGACTATCAATCTATTCATCTCGTATCGTAATATTCGTTTGTATAATAATCGATAAAGCCAGCAGCCATATAACCAGCAACTTAATATTATTATTGGCTATTTTTTTTTAATACATCGATACATTCTGGATATCTTGAGAGTGAGTGAATGAAAAAAAAAAATAACAGAATTAATTTGATCGAATCGATTTTCAATCGATAGTAATCATTTTTTTTTTAATAATAATGTCACACATTGATACTATACAACAGGTCTTTTTTCTTGGATCATTCTGATTTGATTTGTTTGAATCTGAATTTTTTTTTACTTTGATTTTGAGAATAGATTTTTTTCCAATTTTTGTTTCATTTTTATGATTTAAAATTTCAAATTTTAAACAACATTTATACAAACACACACACACACACATCTCACTAAAGAAAAAAGAAAAAATTTATGATTTGACAGGCAGAATTTTTTTTTTTTTTTGAAAATATGAAAATGACAAACACGACACATGTGTTCTAGACATGATCATTTGGATATTTAGCAAAAAATATCAAACGATTGACAATTTTTTTGTTTTCCTATTGTTTTGCTTCGAAATTTTCGATTCTATTTTCTCTTACATTCTGATTGTGATTAATAATAAATGTTTCAAAATGACCAAAACACAAAGAAACAAATGAAACAAAACAAAAAAAACTCGTTATACGATCCATTGATTTCATGTATCAAAATCAACTTTAGATATTAATTATTATTATTGTCAATTTCATAAATATAAATCAGAGTTTTATTATTTTCTCTACACTTGATTTGTGAATTTGTTTGTTTGGCTATAGTTTTTAGTTCATCTTTGATGATTGTCTTCAGGTTCCAAGAATTTTCATCAATTTGATACAAACACAAGCTTGGGTGGATGGGTGGATAGACGAAAGGAAAAAAAAAGTAAATTAGTTTTGGCACCAAATAATAATGGTGTATATACACACACAATACATACATACGAATGCACTTGAATACGAATATGATGTTTATATATGGAAAAGATATAGAAAAAGTCCAAAATCAAATCTGTCAATTGCAGATTCGGCCGAAAAAAAAACAATTTTCTCTCGCTCTCTCATTCGCTCTCATACTTATTCTGTTTATGAAACAAACAAACAAACAAAAAAATATGGAAACACTTTTTATTTTCGTGGATCGTTTGTTTCGATTTGATTCTTTTCATCCGAAAGAGTCATTGATGATGATGATGATGATGATTATCATTATTATTATTATTATTATTATGATATAATCTGAAAGCCAGACGGCACTCATGACCATTGGGTTATTATGACAAAAAAATATAATGTTATTATTCCGGTTTTATTATTATTATTATTATTATTATTATGCGCTAAATGTTTATAACTTTGTTCCAAAACAATATCAATAACATTAATAATGTACAATTTTCTCGTTTGAAAGTATCGGGAAAGAAAAAGAAAAGAAAAGAAAATCAACTTAAGAATCATTATGATTGGTATTACCAATCTCTGCACATATGACCATCGATGATTAATTAATGGACAGCTTGTTTTTTTTTTTGAACAGCATATCTGTCGACAACATATATAAATGTAGTATATAAATATACACTATAGTGGTAGTAATCATTCATATCGATAAATAACAATGATGATCAATTTGTTTGTTTTTTTCCTGTGGGTGGTGAGGGGTTGAAAAAATAATGTTATTAATTTGATTGATTAATTTTGACTAAAATGTAATAATTCTATTCGATTATTTAATTTAATAATAATAATCGTTTTAGAATGTTATTTAAATATTGATTTTTACATTTATTGATCCGATTGTCAATAATTTTTAATTTTTTGTAAAAAAATGTCTATGTCTTATGACTCAAATTCATGGTTTGAAGATGATTATGAACAGGTTAAAATTAGCAGCGGACAAGAAATAAAACCGGAAACAAAAATCGGCGGTAATTTTAAAACATTAGAAAAATTAGGATCCGGTTCGTTTGGCCAAATATTTCTTGGTCAAAGCATTATTGATGGTTCAAAAGTGGCAATAAAATTTGAACCAAGCAGAGATCGAGGAGGTCAATTGGCAAATGAAATGAGAATATATAAGATTATAAATGCAAAAGATGACCAACTTATTGGCTTTCCAAAAATTTATTGGTTTGGTCAATGGTTTAAATACAATGTATTAGTTATTGATCTTTTGGGAAAGAATCTAGAAGAAGTATTTCAAACATGTGGACAGAATTTCAAACTCAAAACAATCTTATATTTGGTTTTACAATTATTAAATCGATTTGAATTTATTCATAGCAAAAAGTAAGCAACAAAATTACATTTTCATCGTGATTATAATTATAAAATTTTTTTCTATAGTATTGCATACAGAGATGTGAAACCCGAAAATTTTCTTCTAGGTTATCCTGGATTACCCAATCGTAATATTGTACATGTTGTAGATTTTGGTCTATCGAAAGAATTCATCGATCCCCATACAGGTCAACATATTCCATTTCGTGAAGGAAAAAATTTAACTGGAACAGCTCGTTATATGAGCATCAATGCACATTTCGGTATTGAACAATCAAGACGTGATGATCTAGAATCTTTGGGTCATTTGTTTATGTATTTTTTGCGTAAAGGTAAATTACCATGGTCAGGATTGAAAGCATCAACTTTGAAAGAACGATATCGTAAAATTGGCCAAATAAAACAGATGACACCTCCCGAACAACTTAGCGATGGTTATCCACAAGAATTTGCCGATTTTTTGACATATACAAGAACTTTAGGATTCGACCAACAGCCAGATTATGATGTATGGAAAATGAATTTCGGAAATTTATTTCAAAATTACAATGATAGTTCAAAATATGATTGGGAATAAAAAAAGAATGGTTTAACTATGAAAATTTATGATTTCATCAAATACAAATAAAATAATTTAAATAAATTTTTAAAAAAATTTAATGTGTGTCATATAACAATGACTCTTAAGGCTGTTTGAATTTATCAGAGAATATTCGTTTTAGAATGATCGGTGTCAAAGATATAATAGAAACTGTTAACAACATTAACATAGATTTATAAGTTATTATATTCGATGATGATGTAAGCTGATATAAAGTTGTACCAGCGTGGACAGCAATGAATGAAGGAGGTGCAACACCTATAAATTAAAAAAATTAACAATATGACAATCTGAATTGATAACAAAAACCATTCAACATACCAAAAAATGTTCCGAAAAAAAAGGTAGATAAAGGAACATTAACAATAGGTGATGTTATATTGATCAACCAATTCGGTAAAAATGGAGTGATTCGAAGAAAAACTACATAGAAAAAAAGATGACTACGATGTTGATCGATTATGTTGGATACATGAGCAGCTTTATGTGGCCAATATTTAATTATGAATGGTCTACCACAAAGCCATGAAAGTAGATAACAGACTGATGCACCAACCGCCGAACACTGAGAAAAACAAAAAAAAAAATGATTATTTTTGAAATCAAGTTAATTTTTTTTTTGACTTACAAAACAAACAGACAATAAAGCCAATGGAAATGGAAATAAATAACCAGACATTACACTCAAGAAAATTGAACCGGGAATGGCGAATGATTGCAAGCTAATTGTCATAATAATTTAAAGAAATTAATTTCAATTAAATATTCCAAGCAAATATGATTAAAACATACAAAATATAAGTGATGATAAAACCGAAAAGAACGACGTAAAAATATCGATCTTTGTACCCGGATAAAACGTTTCCCAAATTTTTGGCATCATCAATGTTCATGGGCAATTTGAAATGTTGCTTTTCATGGCTAAAAATAAATGTTAATTGAATAATTTTTCTCAAAAATCTCATCAGAGCATACTTACGGTTCTAGTTTGGGAAAATTTAGATAAACAATAAATAAAGATAAAGTTGAAATCAAAATGATAGATAAAAGAAGAATGCTAGAATTTTTCAATGAATTGTTGCGATTTGGTTCTACAGGACTTTGATCGGGTGATTTCGTTGCAACATCGGCCATGATTAGATCAATTCAACAAAAATATCACAGTAGATTTTCTAGAATTTGTAACAAAATTTTATTTTTGACTATTAACCTAAATGAATCAATAAAGAATGAGAAAATTGAGCATTGCAATCTTAATTCATTTATGAAACATAGCAACACATGACTATTGTAATTGTATGCACAATTTGAATGTAATATAATTCAATATGAATTAAATATTGAATTCCCGATCAATAACTATTATTAGTCTAAATGAATAATTTAAGAAGAATAAAAAAATACTAAAAAATAAATTAAAAAGAATCGATAAATCATTTTTTTATGAAAAAAAAAGATAAATAGATTTTTTATTCTTTCATAAAGGACATGCAAGAAAGTTGCAAGAAAAATTTGTTTCGAAAAAAGTTTCTCCAACATTCGAATCTAAATCGGAGTAACATTCGAATGAAAAATTACAAACACTTCCAGGTGGTATCTTCAAAAAAAAGATTTGCTCATCGTGTCAATAATTCATTGATGTTATTTTCCAATCGTGATAAAAGTTCAATCGAATGATTTAGTTTTTCGACGCCTTCATCCTATGATTTAAAAAAAAATTAGTTCATTTAAAATTTGAATTCAAATCAATCAGATTTATTTTGTCTATACTTTGACCGGGAAACTTTCGATATGTACTAATAGAGTAGCCAGCTCAAGATGTTCACTGTATTCATTTTTCAATCTTATACTTCGTAATCCTTGTCGGATACAGGAAACAGGAAACGTGGCCTGACCTACCAAACTGCTTTCATCAAAATTATCTCGATGATAAACGACAAATCGTAATAATGAAAGTTCCGGGTAAGTTATATGGAAAATGAACTGATTATCATTAGTCCATGTTGGACATAAGCCATTATCATCTGTAATTTATTTTAATCGATTATTATTAACAGTCAATATTGATAATGATACTCACAAATTATGTTTGTCGCATATTTTCTACAATCAAAATCGGCACCAATAACTTCGACTTCTACCGAAGGACTCAATATGCCTTTAATTAATTTTCTCAGATTTTTGGCACAAATTATCTATCATATTAATTTTATATAATCAGAATAAATCGATTGAATTATCATCATGAATCTTACTTTAACAGTGAGAACAATAGGTGAACAGCAATCAAGATCAACAGGTTTTACAAATGGATTATAGCTTTCACTTTTCATATATGATGGCATCAGAACATAACCACATCGACCATTTTGTAGAAATTTTGCATGATTCAATTGCATCGGTTTATCTTTTGTCTGATAATTTAATGCAACCATCTGTATACCACAATTCCACATTTTTGTTGGATTATAATTAGATGAATATATTCGAGTTCCTTCCGGATAGACACGCATCAATTGATGACGTGTAAAATTTATAATAGTTTTATATTGACTAATATTCAGGTGTTTTTCAATTTTTGATTCACGAATCGAGCACATTTCGCGATAATCCATTGTCTCTATGGAGAAAAACATTAATAAAAATCGTCGATTTCAAACATTTAATTCATACATACTTCCATCATAACCAATCGAACAACAATATATAATCAAATCATTTAATTCTGGTGCAATTTTAAGAATTTGTCGTTTTGATGATTCTTTATTCAAATTATTATTCTTATTATGGAAAAAAATTGATCAACTTTTTCAATCTTTTCTAAAAAAAAATCGAAACTTACTTTAACTTTTTTATTAAGAATTTCTTGAATTTTTATCATCCAATCTTGACATTCTATTTCATCTTGTGCCATAAATATCATTGATCCTATTTTGAATGAATTCATTTCAGATGGATATAATGATATGGTAATATTTTGATCTAGCTCAATCGAATACCAAGTTTCGATTTCATTTTTAATTTGTTCATCTTCTTCGTCCATTTCATCATCCGAATATTCTAAATCTTTTGATTCTTCTTTTGGAATGAAGCCATGCTCCATGTAGCTACTTTGTGATTCTGTTGGCTCCTGTTTTTTTTTTGTTAGTTTTTGGTTAATTACTTTGTTCAATGCAACAATATTATTGTAATAACTTACTCCTCCTAATATTCGAACATTTTCTTGTGTGGCTGGAAACAAAAGCTTTGTCTTCTTATAAAGTGGATGTTTTTCATAAAATTCGATCAATTCGGTTAAACTTTCAAATTCTTCATTTCCGATCATAAATAATCGTCCTTCTGTTTTGATTCGACAATGTTTTATAATGTTTTCGGCTCGAAATGAAATTGAAAATTGATTATCCTGTTGTTCGCTATATCGTACAAGAAATGCTCCATTATGTCGTAATCGTTTTAGAATATCTTCTGCCTCTTCTTTAGATAAATGCTTATAAAACCATGGTTTATTTTCATGAGTATTTTCATGTGGAGCAAAATTACGTAGAAATAATTCTTGAAATTTGTCACTTTTCAATGGTTTTGTCTGATAATAATCAATTAATTCATAAAGCGTATTAAAACTTATAAGATCATTTAATCGAAACGTTTTGATTCCATTGGGAAGACAATCTAATTTAATTCTGCTATGATGTACTTTGCCATCAAATAAAAATGATAACGTATAATCACCGGGATGTGTTTCACTTTCTCGTACCAAAAATGTTCCATCACCAAGATCCAGATGTTTTAGGAGAATTTTTTCAGCTTCTGATCTACCTCCTTTTAGTTTACCATGAAACCAAGGTTCACCATAATGAAGTTCACTTTTAGGTGATGTACGTTTTGCTGAATAATTATTTTCTTTGTTTCCAATTGTTCCGTATGATGTTTCATCATCACTTTCATCTTCCTCTTCATCTTGATCATCATTTGTATCCAGAATGTAATTCAATTTTTTCTTTGTCAAAATGACGAAATGTTTTCTGAATCTTTTCTCATCAGCAGAGTATACAAGCAAATTTCCATATTTGATAGAATTACTGCAATCGTTATAGTCATTTTCATTACGTTCTTTTAATGATTTGGAAGAACTAGGTTCGACCGGTGGTTTGATTGAATTGTTATTATTATTGTTGTTTGATTCTTTCAAAGTATCACAATCCAATCGTCTTTTCTTATGTTTTATGATTATTTTGCGTTTTAAGCGTTCGGGTGATGGCAAACATGTTTCATTCAAATCTAATGGTTTCTTTAACAAATAATCACCAAGAATTTCTTGTAGACATTCTGCCATAAACTTTTGCTGCTTTATACTACAATGATTCTCAATAGATAATATGACAGGATATGGTGAAACTTCGAAAGCATGATCACGAATACTTTTGATAACATCGATGAATTGAATACGCGTTGTTAATGTTCGGCCATGATAAATCAATGGTTTACCATCAGGTCCATCCCAACAATCCACTTGTGATAAAATAATTATGTTATTGAATTTCATCAGTAAATTCTTTTTGTAAAAATAAATACTTACATTCAACACATCGACAACCAGAACGCAAACATCGAATATAACATTCGACTGAAGATTCACTTTTGAATTGATCACCAGTTAAATATGTATTGTGTGATGAAGCTATAAAATAATGATTAAGTGGTTGATTCATATCATGTGTAACATCACTACAGAATTCATTCCAAATAGAATTTTCTTTCGAAAACAGATAATCAATAAATTCTATTCGAGTAAAATATGCTTGTGTTTCATAATGACGTAATGTATCTAAAGAATTTCGAAAAACAATATCGCTAATCTGTTGAAACGATATTTTAATTTTTTGTTCTTTGGTAAAAAATTCTTTTAGCTCATCGATATTAATTTTTTTCAAATCATTCGAATATGATTGCAATAATGAATCCAGATATGATGAATCGATAGATGTTTGAATATTGCTTATTTTATTATACAGTGAAACATATCCATCGTATTCTAGACAACCAGTAAAATTCTGATCCACATCGTAGAATAATTTTTTCAATTGGCTGCTTGATAATTTTATATGATGACGAGTAATACAATGTTTTAAATCTTTTAGATAGATACTGTAAAATTTAATTAGATATTTCCAATTCAATAATTAATTTTCATTATTAATTAATCTCACCCTTTACAATGTTGACTTTGTGAAGAATATTCATCAAATTCTCGCTGTAATAAAATATCAACTTGAACTCTGAACGGCACCCATTCTGCAATATTTTTTATATATTTAAACAAATTACGAATTCTTTCCGGACATATGTCAGCATCAGCTTTACAAATCGAATCAATAATTAAACGAAATGATCAAAATAATAATTCTATAACTCACCAATACAATATAATTTTCGAAGACAAAATTTTTTCCCGTATAAAATGGCAAACGTTTTGCTATCAAACTTTTCTCCGTTCTCTTCAATAATTCGAATTTCTTGAATGTCTCTAAAATCGATACAACCTTCAAATTCTTCATATCCTGACATCGGTTTGTACCATTCAAGTCTACACATTTCGAATCGTATGCAAAATTTTCGTTTTTCTAATCGTGATTTGCCTTCGATTTTTCTCCACGAAAAACCTTCACAAAGTCGACGAATTAATTCATGATCTAAGTGGCAATCATTTTTAGCAAACAAATAATCTTTGAAGATTGAACGATTCATGATATCAGCGTTTTACATAATGATATCAAACATGATTTTTCTTCGATGTTGTTTTGACCATCTGTTTTGTTTTTGTATTGGTTTTTGCTCGTTTCTCTTGAATTATTGTCCAACCTATTGTATACAAAGGCCAATTGATGTTATCAATTTCCGGCCATTGTAGCTGAAGATTCATCCTGTTGATCATTGTTAAAGCTAAATAATGATGATTAGACTAGATTTAGTAACACAATTCAAATTACTGCTCTCAGTTCAGTGTTAAAGCCGCCTCATTTTGCTGATATTGAGCAATGGATGGATCAAAAGTATCCAGATACTTGTTAGTTACATTGCGCATACTCGAGAAATGAGTGGATACATGTTTTTCATGTCAAATGAATTTCATCAAAACTTCCAACAAAACATTTAATAAAATTCAAAATGAATCTCAAGACGATCGGTAATTTTTTTTTGCAAATGATTTTAATTTAAGATCTATTTTTTTTATTCCAATATAGAGCCAGCCATCGATTGTGACGAGGAAACTGTTAAAGAGATTCTCAATTCTAATATTGATTTGAGAGAATATTCTGCCAATGTTGAAAAATCCTTATCTGAATTGGAAAACACTACAATTGCAGGTTACATCAAGGAAGCTGATAATATTTCTGAATTACATTCACAAATCACTGATAGTGATAAAATCCTGGAAAGATTGGAAGGAATGTTATGCGCTTTTCAAGCCGATCTCAGCAATATTTGCCAGGAAATATTATCATTGCAAGAATTATCAGCTTCGTTGAATATACGTTTGAAAAACAAACAGGCGATTCGAAATCAAATGAGCGAATTTGTTGATGATATAATCATTCCTGAATCAGTGATAAAACATATTGTCGATACTCCGGTTAGTGAGAAAGAATTTCTTGAACAATTGATCATTTTGGATCACAAAATTTCATTTGTAAAAGAGCAATCATTTCGTGAAGCAAAAGCTTGTGTGGATGTGATGGAAATATTGAACAATCTTAAATCAAAAGCCATTATTAAAATACGTGAATATATTTTGAAAAAGATTTCATCATGCAAAAAACCAATGACCAATTATCATATTGGTCAAAATGCTCTTTTGAAAAATAAATTCTTTTTTAAATTTTTAGCTACACACGAAAGAGACATAGCCAGAGAGATACAAAATGAATATATCGATACAATGAGCAAGATTTACTATTCCTACTTCAAAGAATTCATTAATAAATCAACCAAAATGATGTATGAAGATCTGCCTGATAAAGATGACTTGATGGGAAATGATGATTCACATAAAGCAAATAGGAGTTCAATATTTCAGCTTAAATCCAATATTATCAAGCATCGGCATAATATTTTTGCTTTAGGTGATAGAGAATCATTGTTAACGACTGAACTTGAATCACCATTGATTGTTGTGCATCCTGCTTCGAAGAATGACATGAAATTTCCATTGGAAAATATATTCCGCGAGATTCAATACGCCTTTCTTGGTCATGCTTGTCGTGAATATCTATTTATGAACGAGTTTTTCATGGTCAACTCTAAAACATCACATGATTTATTTTATACAATTTTCGGAAAAACTTTGGATCTACTTTACAAAAACATTGATAGTCTGTTTTCACAAAGTTATGATGCAATAGCTTTATTCGTTTGTTTGCACATAATTTATCGATATCGAATATTATCAATGAAACGTGAAGTATTGGTATTGAATCATTATTGGGAAAATGTTGTCAAAACTATATGGCCACAATTTGAGCAAGTATTCTTAATGCACATTGAAAGCATAAAATTCTGTGATTTAAACAAAATAAACACAATCGATACACGACCTCATTATATTACCAGACGATTTGCTGAATTTTCGGCTGCTATTGTTACGATCAATGATACGTTTCCTGATGACCGCGTCACGAATTTATTATCCATATTACAGGTAATGTTTTTTGTGTTTGTTTTTCTTTTTTTAATTTAAAACGTTTATGTTTTTTTTCTAACTAAAGAATGAAGTGATGAATTTAATACTAAGAATGTCGACTAAATTCTGTAAACCGAAAGAGCAATATGTTTTTATCATCAATAATTATGACACAATCTTAGGCATCCTATTGGAACGTAAAAAAGATGGATCGAATGCAGCCGAAACAATGAGAGAACAATTGAATAAAAAAATAATGGATTTTATTGAAGAAATGTTATATCCTCATTTTGGAGCTATGATTTCATTCGTTAAAGAATCAGAAGTATTGACAGAAAAAAATGATATCGAATCATTGAAACGATTGGAACCTAGAGTTGGTGATTTGATACAGAATTTTAACAATAATTGGAGACGATCATTAGAACAAGTTTCAAAAGATATAATGGCATCATTTACTAATTTTCGTACTGGTAATAACATTCAACAGATTGCCTTGACACAATTAGTGCAATATTATCATAAATTTCAGAAAATTGTTAGTCAACCACCATTCAGCAATAATCCGCTACGAAGCGAACTAATCAATATCCATCAATTAATGGTTGAAGTGAAAAAATATAAAACAAATTTCTAATAACTTTATTTGTTGGCTTTTTTTATCCAGGCCATTTCCAATATTTTATTTATTTCGATAATAAAGAATTAATAATCTGTAAAAATAATCGAAAACTATAGTCTAAAATTTTGGAAATTTTTTACACAATTTTATACAAAAAAAAAAATCAGATTAAACATTCTTAGAATGGGTTGATTTCATTATCGGTTATTTCACTTTTGAACGTTTGCACCGGTTGTGACGGTGCGGATAGTAAATCATCCGTATTGATTAGGCTAGATGGGTCTTGCCTGTTCATTTGTTGCATAATGTTTTCCACTTGTCCCAACATTTGTGCTCCATTAGCCAATGAATTAGCCATTGTCGGCTGACTCGATGATAATGGCGATTGTATTTGAGTAGCTTGTTGCTGTGCAAGATTGGATTGTTGCCTGTTTTCACTTGATTCTTGTGACATGATAACATTTACTACTTGAGACATGTTGGAAACCATATTGTTCATATTTGGCTCAGGGAATGTTTGCCCTTTAAATCAATCAATTATTAATATATCGTAGACATATAGTTTAAACAACTTACTGGGATAAGCACCTTGCCATAGATGATTCCTTTGCCATTGTAATGGATCGGTTGAAGTAAGATTGTTCTGGACTGAATTGATATTTGATGCAGGTGCAATCGACTGAGCAATATTGGTCGAACTTCTTAAAAGCATCTCTGTGATCAATTCATCGATGTTTAGTTTTCCTAACGCCTTGGCGAATTGTATCTGTTCAATTAATTGCCATGTGATGCTTTGTAAAGATGGAAGTATCAGCAAAAGTTCACCAAAACGACCTCTTGAATTATATTGTCGATCGTTTACATAATCTTCCAGACAGATTTGTATCTGATGACGAACATTTTTTATTCTAGCTGAATCTTTTAAATTTTTCACAGCTTTTCATTTTGAAAATAATTTCACTCAATATAAATGATAATGAGTAAAACAAAAATATCATGATACTTACCAGGATCAAAAAATACAATTGCTTTCAGGCAAGCAAATTCATTGTCATCGATATTTACATCTTTCATAACTGCAACAATTTCATCCAATATTCGACAACCAATACGTGTGATCTCTTGATCTGGCGTAAGTCTAGGAATGATGTGATCATTTCCAAGTAGAAGAACATCTTTGAGTACTAATGATCGTTTCGAAAGTCCCAGAAGAAGATGTTCACCAGCATGAGCTCTTAACAAAGCAACCTGATCATCAATGTTTAGCTCAATGAATGCCGGTATACATTTCGCCCATTCGACAAGTATCATTAATTGTTGTGTCATAGAATTGCCAATATCTTCAATGTTGGCTATTTTTTTCGATTGATAATTTGTATCAGTTGGTGGAGAACAATTCTGTTTATTTTCGGAAAAAATACATGTTCATTCAATCCCTACAATAAACTTAAATTATTATTATTTTTCACCTTCCTTGATGACATCTCAGCCTTGAGCAAAACAGCCAATGATGTTCCAGATGTTGTTTTTGTATCTTCATAGCTAGGCCTACGACACGTAATACGATCCCGTTCATTTTGAACGGCCTCTTTACGCATATCGGCACGGAAACATTTTTTCAGACGACAATATCGACATTGGTTACGTTTATCTTTGTCAATGACACAATTACGATTGAAACGACATGTATACAAATGATTCTTGCGAACACTGCGTCGAAAAAATCCCTGCAAAAAAATTGTTGTTAATTAATTAACGATAGTAGATAAATATTTTTTTTTAATTTTTAAATAATGATTAAAATTAAAAACATGAAAAATTTTACCTTACAGCCATCACAGCTAAATGCACCATAATGTTTTCCGGTAGCTCGATCACCACAAATAGCACATATAGAATTTTGTTGCTGTTGTTGGCCAGAATTGTTGTTATTATTATTTTCATTATTTGTCGATAGTTCATTATTATTACCATTTCCACCACCACCACCATTCATATTGGCCATGTTGTTGTTGTTGTTGTTATTCGTCGAAGTTAAACCATTCGCATTTGTTGTTGTATTATTGTTAATATTATTATTATTATTATTATTAGCATTGCTATTGATAGAATCACATGTTGAATCTATATTCATAATGAACATTCAAAATGAAGTGAAAAAAAAAGAAAAAACAAATTAGAATAAACATCAGTGATGATTATGATAAACAACAAAAAAAAAGTTTGTTGCGGTGTTGGTCAAAGTTTCTTTTTCTCTTTTTTTTTGTCTGATATGTTTTGGTAAAAAATATAATCAAGCATTGCGATAAAATTCTACGTTGATGATGATGATGATATAACAAGGAACATGTTTGTTTATGTTTTTTGTTTAAGTTATTATTATTTTTTCTCATTTCCATCAAAAAAAAAAATTTTCAGCATTTTTCAGTAATGAACAAAACGATTATACAACGATGCAGACCGAATTTCTTTCAGGTAATAATATTTAGTGAGAAAGTGATTAGGAAACAAAAATTAAACCGACCAAAAACCATAGACACACTATAATTGGCAAATATACCTAAACTTATCCATCTTTTTTTTCTTCTATCGATGATAATGATAAAGATAATATAAAAAAAATCATAATAATAAGGCCAGACATAACAAAGTCAATGAAAATTTTCTCATCATCGAGGTTATATTTTCTAAATATTCTTATATACGGAGCGGTAAAATTGGTTTGTATTCTTTTCATTTTTCTTTGCAAAGTATTCCATCAGGTGATTATCATCTTCAATGATTTAATTCTAAGTTCAAAACTTTTTTTGATTAACAAGAAAAAAAACAAACTTGTTAACAAAAGAAAAAAAAACAAAGTTTTTTGAACTCCATCAACAATTTGGAAACAAAATGGTATATTTTGAATCTATAAAAAAAATTGATTCATCGTTTACATATCGATTGTTGAACGATTTCTTTCGTTCATTCATTTTTTTTCTAAATTTGTTTGATTTGAATTGGAAAATCCAAAATCCGAAAAAATTGAATCATGTGTGAAACATACATAAAATAAACATTTTTTTAAAGGAAACCTTTCAACCCTCCTTTTTCCTGTTGAACAAGAACCTCAAAACAATGAACATTCATTATTAGTTAAAAATCTACTGATCATCATTATAACAAATTAACACCGATGGAATCATCATAAGATACATTACAAAATTATGTACCTAAAAAAAATGGCAATCATAATCATAAAAAATGTTTTTTTTTTTTGTTCATAAAAAAAGAATGATGATGGAAATTATTTATGCTAATACAAATTTATTTCTCCTATATACTTTAGCAATGTCCTTGTGTGTATTAAGATGATTTCAGAATGATTTGTAAAGGAACAAAAAAAAAAATAAAGAAAATTTCTGTTGCAATCACTACACGAACGATATATTGATGATAGTGAAAAACGGAACGGATTGATGTATAATATTATCATATCGAATGAAATTTGGCTATCAATTATTATAATCATTATAAATGAAAAATCGATGATCATCACATGCTAAAAAAAATAGTGATTACAAAGGTAATGCACAATTTGATTTATTTCATTCTAACACGGCCCTGATAATAAATTATGAATTTCACACACACACTTATTTAGACCCAGACAAACAAAACAAACAAAAATCATTAGAAATAATTTGAATTAAATAAGGATCAATACCGATATAATTATTTCTATTTTCATCTTTAATATTTTGTTGTTGTTGTTGTTGTTGAATCATTCGAGAATTGTTTATTTTTTCACGACCATTATCATTATTATTATCATTATTATTGCCAACTGTATCGACAATATCCATACAATCATCATTATTAACAGGAACAGTAGATAATGATTGATTCCATATATTTTCATTTGATAAATTATAATAAATACGACCATTATTATAACCACTATTATTATTAGAAGTAGTTGCGTTTGTCATATATTCAGGTGAACTTTGTGATGAAACCATTACATCATCATGTTCATTGATTGATTCCATTGATGAATAAATATTTGGATTTGTATTGTTGAGACTGGAATAATCTACAGGACCATTGCAGAAAAAATTGCCAGTAGTATCTGGTAAATCTTGTTGAGATGAACGAAACATCAGTGATGGTGGTGTTACAACGTTAAAGTCTATTGGGAAATAATTATATGAAGATTGAATACTATTTCCGCTATATGTAGCGTTTGTTGACGCATACATAAACCGACACGCTGGTGGTTGCGTATGGGTTAACATTTTGATTTTTTAAACCACATTCGATCAGATTATATCTATTTCAAAGTTTTTTAAAAAAACACTGTATACACAAAATGCACAATATATAATATGAGATCTATGTTGATATTGGCAGATGATATGTTGTTCAGAATTTTATTTAAAAAAAAACACAAAGCACTAAAATTAAGATATGTAATAATTTTACTTGATAATTTTCACTTTTATATTTTTTATTATTATATTGAAAATAAGCAAATTAAATAATCTAATGAATGAGTATTTATTTATTATTATTGTTTTGTTCAAATTGTGTCCAGATTAAATGTTGTCATTAAGAATCGATATTGGCTTAATATAGCCAATGATTTCAATGTTTCAATTGTTTGTTTGCCGAATATTATTGTTCCCATTAAGAAAATGTTGTTGATGTCATCTATGCATATGAGAAAATCAATTTTAATATTTAAAAAAAAAAATAATTTACTAAGATAGATCGACGATGACAAGAGAAAGAAGGATATGGTTCAAGTTTTTTTCTTTTAAATATATTATTTTTGTTTTTTGATTTGGTCGACAAATTTTTTTTCTTTATTTCACTGATGTTGATTATGTTTATCAAATTTAATGATGATGATGATGATGAGGATGAGCATTTGTAGAAATTGAAAAAAATCGAGCCATAACTTATATACGCATCCAATATTAGATAGATACCAAATTCAATGATGATTATGATAATGCAATGATGTGGTAGGTAGTGTAATGTGTTTAAGGATTGATGATGATGATGATGCGACCACAACTTAAGCTTTGGGTGATGAAGAATTTACTGAACACTGACTGATTGCAATAACTTTACTTCATATTTTTTTTTAAAAAAGAAAAACTGCTGCTGTTTTTTTTATTTCTTCGTCGTCGTCGTCGTTTTTTTTGTTGTATAAGTATGACTACCAAAACCAATGATAATATATCTTCTTCTTTTTTCATTTATTTAATATAAAATTTTTTTTTTCATTTTCATTCTAGCTTAGCATTGATATATACATGTTGATTTAAGATTGATTTGATATGATGGCCAACTTTAAATCAAAAAAAAAAAATGATAATTTGGATAATGATATAGTGGTTGATTGTGATAACGGTTGATTTTTACAACGTATAATAACAACAACAACAATGATGATGATGATATGTATGTTGGAAACAATCCTATTTTAGAAAAATGATTATGACGATTATGATGAGCATTTTCTTTTTTTTTGTACAAATCTTGTAAATTGATTTTCTATTTTGTTCTATTGTCATCTTATGGATCCAATTTGATTCTTAATAAAATTAATTATTCAAATTTATTTGAATGAGATAATTTGTATCAATCCGGTTTTTCTTTTATGCTTTGATTTGATTTTTTGTTACATATGTTTGAGTACAAATGAACGCATTTTAATCATTTTGAATTTGGTTGTTCTTTTCAAAACCAAATTGCACAAATCACACCTTGAATTATCAAGAAAACAATATTTTTTTTTTTTGAAGAAAAAAATCTTGAATATTTTTACATTACATTCACGTTAGACACAGGCACACAAACATTTATAGGATACTTATTCAAAACTTTTTTTGTTGGATAATTTTATTTCTGAAAAAAAAACTTTTCAGAAGCCGTAGTTGAATGTAAATGAACGAAAATGAATGAATTGTATGGATGTATATCTATAGCCGGTGTCAAATTCGGTTCATGGTATGGGCATACATTTTTTTTTTAAAAAACAGCCAATGGCTAAAGTGAACACAACCTGTTTGGCAATAGTAATGATGATGATGTTAGAGAATTTTTTTTTCTTTTCATTTTTTCTTCACTCCAAATAATAACATCACCATTTAGATTCGCATTATAGAGTCGAATTCTATAGATTGTTGTACATGAAAATGAATAAAAAACCAAAAAAAGTAAAGGAAAAAACTTTTATTTCGAATAACATATTAGTCATTGACAAGAATGATTTGAAAAATCGGTCGAAACTGGTCAGTTTGACTAAAGAAAAAATATTTTTTCAAACAAATATAGAATGCGATAGTCTCTTGCTCTCTCTAATCAAAAACCCAAATTTTTTCTTTTTGACCAACTGATAATAAGCAAAGGTAAACAATCCACTTCTATGACCAAAATAACTTGATTGACCTCAGCATTTTATATTGTATGCATGAATATAAAGTGTGACGATGAACAAATTTACATAGCGACAAAGTTGATAATGTTTTTTTTTTTTTTTTTTTTTTTTTTTTTTTTTTTTTTTTTTT